AACTTTAACCTTTCAACCCACTCTGACCCTATGACCTGTTTTCCCTGGTGGTACAACATACAGCTGGTGTAAAGAGGGAAGGCATATCTCACACACACACACACACACACACACACATAGTCTAATAAACACTACATAGAGTCATGCACTTAGTCACACAGTCATGCTCACAGACTCACACAGTGGGATCATTTGGTTAAGTGTTGCCTTAGTGTGTGTGTGTGTGCAGGGATGCGGCTGTTTCCTTTCATTATATCAGCTAACACTGCTTTTGGCTCCTAAATATGCAATTAAACTCACCAATCCCACAAAAAACAAACTATTCAAATATTAACTTTAGCAATATGTGCCTTCACATAAAATGTGATGTCTAACTATTAGTCTGAGCATGAGATTAGCACAGAATGTTTGCAAGCACATCATTTTGCATTTTGTAAAGAAATTATCACACAAAAAATAGTTTAATTTTAACAACCAAAACTGCCTTCTTTGCTAATCGTAGAATACATGTAGGCAGTTTGGGATTGGCTGTTCCATCTCCAATCATATGACCTATAGGAATATCAAGATATCAGGATCGGATTATCACTACGGTGAAGTTGGGTCTGGTCACATCAGAAAGTGGCAAGGCATAATTTATCTATATATCTATCATTTATTTTGATCTGGAAGCTTGATGACGTAGTGACTACTCGCAGGGGTTAGTAGATGAACTGTAGCTGCCGAGCTAACTGCTAACTCAGTAGCCAGCGATGATGTGCTAGTCAATAGATTAGGCCTTTTCCACAAATAGCAATTTGGTTCGATTGATCGTTTTATGAATGTTTATGAATAATAATAACATACTTTCTCTACAAAATATACATTATGTGCTTGCAAAAAAATCATTTTCTGACTGTCTTGAAATGTCCCATTGCATGTGCACAAATACAACTCCATGTATCTGTATAGATATGTATGTAATTAGTATTATCTGAGCCAAGGGATGGATTGCATTGTATACCACAGCAAATACTGGAGAGCTAACCTGCAACTGCAATTAGACTCATGCTACATTCATTTGACATCACTAGCAGTAATGAGATGTAGCAAGTGAGCTAATAATAGCCTGATGAACGTCGCTGATAATAATAAGCAGTGAAAATGAAGCCTACATACAGTAGACGGATACACTCTTTCATTATGTAAATTATTATAATAATCCCTTAACCAAACAGAGACTGTATTCCCATTATTATTACAAAATACTATTATTGATTGAAATGAGTGCTTGGGTCAAGTCTTTTGTAGTGTATGGACAAACACACACACACACACACACACACACACTTACATACCATGCATATGCCCCCCACCCTACACACCACTACTATTCACTATATGATGCTTAACCACACTTAAAAGCTTCACAATAACAAGCAACCTGCATGCTCTATACATTCAATCTGTGTGCATGAGTGTGTTAATTGTAATGAAGTCTGATACTTTGTGTGTATTTGTGTGTGTGTGTGTGGGTGCGACCTCCCTCTTGTCAAATTAAACTTTTCTTGTCTTCTGTTTCCTATTTTTCTGATAAAGTCTAATAAATGCACATTAACTTATTTAATTGAATCAAATGGATTTAATACATAAAGCTGTAATGCAATAATCTTATGTAATGTAGTTTAGTCCATTCTAATCACACTAATCTAGTTGAATGTATTCTACTGTTATCTAATCTGGTCTAGTCTATTCTGGTCTGGTCAAATCTATTCTAATTTAATGTGGTCTCATAATTTTATCTATTTTAGTAGATAGATTAATCAAATCTAATCTGGTTTAGTGAGGTCAAACTGAATCTAATCTAGTAAAATTTAACCTGTTTTAGTGCAGTCTAAATTTATTCTAATCTAATCAGATCTATTGAAGTCAGACCTAATCTTATATAATCTAGTCCAGTCCAGTCTAGTTTAAGTGATTATAATCCGGTCTGTGATCCTATCTAGTCTAGTTTAATTTTAGTCTAACCTAACTATTTTAATATACTGTAATGGAGTCGGGTCTATCCCAGTCTAATCTTATCAGTAACGGTTCCCGGTGCGTTGAGGCTGTATTATTGACTCTGCTCTGTGTGCTGTGTGGAAGTTTTACCTCTGTGTTTCTACGGTTTGATCCAGGAGGAGGTGGAGTTAACACTGAGCTCCTGCTGGAGCAGAGGCCCCTCCGGCTTGAACCACTCCTCTCCCAGGGAGGATGTCACACTGCTGGACTCTGAGCAGTCTGCGTTTGCGGGTGTATATTGTGAAGTTTGGTTTTGTATGTTTTTGTGTGTGTGTGTGTGTGAGAGGGAGTCAGGGGAAATAGCATGTGGATAAAGAGGGGTGTATAGGGTGTTAAAGGTAAAAGGTTGGAGGGTTATATTTGAAAACAAAATGAATTATTTTAGTGTTAGCAGGTCAAGGTGGTATTGATTAAAGATGATAGCAAGGAAATGGAGAGGGAAAATGAATGGAAGATGAGGGGAAACATTAGAGGGGACAGACAGCGGGCAGGGAAATGAGAATGAAACAGGAGAACAGGGTGAAGGAAAAAGGGAAAGTCAATGGAGGAGGTGGTTGAAAAGCAAAGGTGAGAGCAGAAATGAGAAAGAACGGTGTGTGGGGAGGAGAGAGAGAAAGAAAGAATGAAGAGTTAATGAATTACAGCGTGGAAAAGTGAGAAAAATAAAGTATACAGTGAGATAGATAGAGTGTCAGAGAGAGAGCAGAACAATGAAGAAGCCTGATGTGATGACTGAGAACAGAATGACACTCATCTGATCTGCCTGTTCTGCCAGATCAGATTCAAAATACTGCAAATTTAACACATGAGTTTCATTTCAAAACAAGTAACAAACTTAAATATTTGTAACATTAAAATGTTGTTGCAAAGTGCCAGTGAGTGCATGATGTTCGTACTGGAGGCTGGATATTATATTATAGATTTTTCTTAATGTCAATCAAATCCCATGAAAAGACCAAAACCAGCAGAACTATTGTGTTGGTATCAAAGCCTGATGTATCGTCTTCCTCTGTGCCATAGAGCTCCTTCATTGTCAAACAGACTGTAGCTTATTTGAACTCAATCCCACATACACCGTCCTGTCTACAGCCATGCTACAGCTCTGTGAAGCTGTACCTACGCACAGCATGCTTTGGGCTAAAAGCTAATATCAGCATGCTAACATGCTTGCAATGACAATGGTAACATGCTGATGTTTATCAGGTTAGCATGCTCACATTTGATTTTTAGCTTTAAAAACAAAGTACAGCTGAGGCTGATGGGAATGTCATTAGTTTTGAGGGTATTTGGTCATAAACCAAAGTATTGGATACATTGAAATTAGATTGGCTAGCTTATTTGCTAGCATTTTGGTAACATTAGCTTACTTATATGTATATATGTATGTATATATATGTCCCTTTTATCTTTTCAACATAGATGAGCCTAGCACATAGCATATCTAAGCACAGAAAAAGGAAGGCTGACTGAGGCTTGCTCGACTGTTGTTGGAGCACAGAGCAGAAAGGAAAGAGTCAATTCACCTTGAGGGGACAAGGATGTGCGTGCCAGATTTAATGACAATCTATTCAATAATCAGTGAGACATTTTAATCTAAACCAAAGTGGCAGCGGGACCGAACTGCAGTCATGCGGACAGTGCCATCCATAGAGCAATCCACAAATTCCAGCACACTCCAGTTTAAATGACTGACTTATAGGCCGGAAGATTTGGGAATGAGGCGAGGAGGAGGTGTGAACATTTATTTGTTGTTTGTTGGACCATCCATCCACCACAACCTCCTCCCTACAAGGTTCTGCAGTGCAACATGTCACATTTACGGACAATGAGACCACAGCATATCCTTGTCCGGGGTTTTATGACATGGGAACAATCAACTGATGCTCGTCTTCTTTTGTCTCTTCACGGGATTTGATAGTAAAATGATAATAACACCAATGTTATCTGTATCCTAATAATCCTCTGGCACTATAATCCCACTGAAGGACACTGTTTTGAAATGAAACCGTATGTACACAGTTTAACACAAAGAACTGTATCAGCTGTGATGAACACAGAATACAGCACACACACACCAGTGTTATCCTGCATGAGTGACTGCTGACCCAGCCATCTGCAGAATGTGAATATTGCATTATTTGAACACAATTCACACACAAACAAAAAAAAAAAGAGGCCGTCATGAATACTTTTGTGTTACAGTTGAGTAAATCAAGTCACTTCACCATCGGCGGAGATGGCAGTGCTGCAGCAGCCTCTGCAGTACCTCTGCAGTACAGATGCAGGATAAATGCATGAAGGGGACTTCTTCTGCTACAGCTGTAGCCTGAAGGTGTGAATGAGGAGAATCACTGGATTAAATATCAATGCCGTTCATTGGACATTGATATGTTATTTGTACCACGGGAGAGAGCTCATGGTGATGCCGAGCTGTCACTCAGAATGATGGAGGGGAGTGAGGGGGAAAGTGTTGTGTGTTTTGGTTGAGTGCTTTTATTTTGAAATACAACTGTACACTATATATTCTTTATGTTGTCTGTGTATGGTGTGTGTTTTTGCTGTCCACTTTTCATATATATATATAGAGGAGTGTTGACGCAACAACATGGACACCTGTAAAATTCATTCATACATTGTTAGGTGTTCCATGACTTTACCGCCCCCTGTATGTGTGTGTGTGTGTAGTTGGATATGTGTGTGCTTGGAACATATGTGTGTGACTGTTACATGTTTTTGCACACTACACACACTGTCAGCACATATCAATCAGGACCATGCATCGAGCGACAGCCCACTGCTGTCACTCAAGTACCTCCCTCCCCCCGCTCCTCCTCCTCCTCCTC